TATATATATATATATATATATATATATATGTATATATGTTGTATTATACTGTTGTGTTACTATTGTTGTATTTATTGTGTATATATGTATATTTTGTATACTATTGTGTTTTATCTAATATTATATGTATATTTACGTATATTTATAGGTATATATATATGTATATATGTATAGGTATACAGGTATACACAGGTATATGCATGTATGTACAACAACACGGATATATTTATATTTATTTATTTAATTAATTAATAAAATAAATAAATAAATAAAATAAATAAAATAAAGATAAATAAATAAATAAAATAAATAAATAAATAAATAATCCCTTTCTTTTATTAACAATCATACATAAAAACAAACACGATGATTGCTTTTGTTCCTTTTTCCCTCTTTTCTTTTTCTTTTTCCCTTTTTATTCCCTTCTTCTTCTTCTTCTTTTCTTCCTTCTTATGCTGCTGCTGCTGCTGCTGTTGTTGCTGTTGCTGCTGCTGTTGCTGTTATATAAGACTTATATACACCCCACAAGAGGTTATGCTGCTGCTGCTGCATGCATGCATGCATTAGGAAGAGGAAGAAAATTAATTAACTGCAGCAGAAGCAGCAGCTAAAAAAGAAGAACAAGAAAGGGAATAAATAAGACAGGGAAGAAAAAGAGGAAAAAAAAAAAAAAAGAAGAAGAAGAAGAAGAAGAAGGAAAAGAAGAAGAAAAAGAAATGGTCTTCTTTTTATGTAGGGGAAAAATTAGGGGATAAAGAAAGGGATAATAAAGAAGATAAGGTACTAGAAGAAGGGAATAAAGAAGAAAAAGAAGAAAAAGAAAGGAATAAAGAAGAAGAAAGATAAAGAAAAAGGACAAAAAGACGGCGAGGGCCGCTATAGAGATTTTTTCTTATGTCATCTTTATATATAGAGGACCAATTGCCTTGACTATACATAGGAAAAGAGGAAGAAAAGAAGATAAATACAAATAAATAACCCCAATTCTTATACACCTTAATAAATAAAGGTAAAAAATAAAAGAAAAATAAGTTATTTATATGTATATATGTTTCCTACATAAAAAGAAAAGAAAGAAAAAAAAACAACAGAGGGGCCGTTATTTATATACTATTATACTTATGCTATTTGCAAGACTTGCCTACTTCTCTACTCTTTATTTCTTGTATAAATAGAAAGAAAAACAACAAAAAAGAATGCCTAAACAAATAATAATAAACAAAAAGAAAAAAAAAGAAGAAGACTACCAGCAGCAAACAGACACACCTAAACCACCAACAGCAGCAGGGCGGCAACTTGTTCTTGTGGGGCCACAACAGGGGCTGCTGCTGCTTCTTGCTGCTGCCCCTCAATATAAATATGTATAAATATACCATTAATATACCAATTAAATACTTTTATTCTCTTTTTTATACTTTATTCTATCTTGATCTATTCATTTTATACAAAAAATACACAAAAATATACTTTTTATTTCCTGCTCGGTACTGTGCAGTCTTGCATCAATACAACAGTATAGAGCCCTCTTCTTTCTTATTACTTTGTAGTATAATTAGAGGTATTTTATCCATATAAATTATATATAAATATATTTTTTTATTTATTTTCTTTATATTTATGTATATTTTACAATTATTTCCTTATTTTTTACCTATTTTATTAGGAATTTATACAAGATCTGCACCTTATGTTGGATCTCTTGCCTCGAAGATACACAGCTGCAGGCAACACAACAACGCCTTCCCGTTGTTCCTCCCTATCTGTGCTTGCTTGTTCTACTATTCTTGCACGTTTGTATTCTTTTTACCAAATAAATATCGCATTTTCTTTATTTATTCTATTTGTTCTATTATTATTTCTATTATTTGCTTAAAAATACGTTTAAATACTCAAAAATAACCGCGAATCACCCTCCTAGGCAGCAGGTGCAGATTCCTATGTGGGATCCACACAAGAAAGCCATAACATGTATAAAGAACATATTAATTAAACCCTTTTGCTGTGTACAAATAAACAAATACTTAAATATTAATAAAACTTAATTCTTTTATGCATAAATAGATAAAATTATAGAGAAAATAGCTAAAAGGTAACACGCATTATCGGCAGTGATTGGGGGTAGAGGTAACGGCAACAGAACATGTCTGGTGACAGGAACGTATTCATCCATAAAACCCTCCTTTTTTAGGTAATTTTATGTTTATTTATATATTTTAATTGTATTTCTTGAAGAGAACATCAAAGAAGTAGTCTAAATAGAGTAATAATATACTTATTAATGAGCGCGAGTCAACACAGCGGCAACTGGGTAGAGGAAGAGGAAGAAACTGTGGTGTTCTTTGACTCTTTTATGAGTATTTATGAATTTATTTTATATATAAATACTTAAAAAGAATATTCATTCAATTTATTTCCTCTTTTTTTGACAAATATGCCCAGGCAAGCCAACAACTCTACCGCCTACGACACCCAACAAGCATATTGTACCACTGCAGAGGCGGCAGTAACCACAGAAACTGCATGCTTCCTGCATTTCTTTATAAATAATTATATTTAATTTGAATAAACAATTCTCTACTGTTCCTTTATTAGGTATTATTTGCCTCCTGTGAGCAGCACTAGAAGAAGAACTGCAGATTTGCTGCAAATATTCACATACAAATACAGCAACAACAATAGGAAAGAAAAGCTGAATAATTACTTTCCTAATGCAACATGGTGTCTGTGCATATCTCGGGTGTATATGCAGATTTTATGCACTCCTGTAGCTCCTATTGTAACCATTTTATTATTATTATGTATTATTCTTATAGTAAGTATACAGGGTATAGTAACGAGCTCTCCGTCATATATAAGAGAAGAAAAAATAAATTGAGGGCTATAAAACCCTAAAAAAAAACTGAATAAAACAAAAATATAATTATATAAATATAAATATAAATATAAACATATTTATTTATTTATATTTATATTTATATATTTATTTATTCATATTTCTGTGACAAAAAGTAACGAAAGAACTTCTTTCATCCGGGGCGACGATGCGACGATTTGCTGCTGCTGTTGCTGCTGTTGCTGCTGTTGCTGCTGTTGCTGCTGCTGCTATTGCTGCTGCTGCTATTGCTGCTGCTGCTGTTGCTGCTGCTGCCAATTCTATTCGCAAGTTTAATTGCAAAAGCAGCAGCAGCAGCAGCAGCAGCAAGTGCAGCAGCAGCAACTGTCTCACGATGTGTCTGAAGTTTGGGCAACCGACTGTGAAGGTCGGCAGCAGCGACAGCGCATATGCCTAAACCATAAACCACAAACCCTAAACCCTAAACCCTAAACCCTAAATTCTAAACCCACAGTAGACGGCAACAGCCAACAGTTGAATAGGAGAAGAATAAAAAAAAACAAATAAGGAATAAAACAGTAGCATAAGCGCATATGAATAGCAGCAACACAAACAACAGCAAAAATCGCAGCACGAGCAGCAGCAGCAGCAGCAGCAGCAGCAGCAGCAACAGCAGTAGCAGCAGCAGCAGGAGGCTGACACAATCTCAATATCTTGTGGATCCTCTTCCTGTTTTTCTCCCTCTTTCTTTATAAATTGAATAGAAGAAGCAACAGAAGAAACAGCTGCCCATCTTGGACAACCAGAACGAAGAGAAGACACCACCAAAACCCTAAACCCTCATACATACACACACCAAACCCTAAACCCTAAACCCTAAACCCTACAATAGTTAGCAAGGGAAAGTCCCATTCACCCAACGAAGCAAACACCATAAATGCAAGCCCTAAACCCTAAACCCTGAGCAGACACGATGACAGTTCATTAGAAGTTTAGGGTTTGCAGCCAAACCCTAAACCCTCCTGATAAGGGAATCAAGAACAAGAAGGACAAGAAAACACCAACAGAACTATTCAAAGGAGAGGCATTCCGTTTTCTGGACACCTCAAACCCTAAACCCTCAAACCCTAAACCCTAAACCCTCACACGAAGTTTTGCGGATGCGCCGCAGCAAAACGAAGTTGCAGACGAGACAAACAAAATTCCCACGTATCCTGCACAAACCCCAAGACACAGACACCTGCTGCTGCTGCTGCTGCTGCTGCACGCGTTGTTGCTGCTGTAGCTGCAAAGGACAGATGCGGACTGTCTAGTGGATACACTCAGCAAACCCTGCGTCTGAGGGTTTAGGGTTTAGTGCAGCAGCAACGGGAGTTTGGTTGTCTGAGGGGTTAGGGTTTAAGGTTAATTTCCTATTAGGGTTTAGAGTTCTATCTATTGTTTAGGGTTTGGAGTTCGAACGAGGGTTTAGGGTTTAAGCAAGCTAGGGTTTAGGGTTTAGGGTTTAAGCAAGCTAGGGTTTAGGGTTTAGGGTTTACGAGTAGAGAGGCCTTGACTTCTATGTAGAGGATTTCTTCTTTGCCGTTTTCGTGTTTCGTTCTTAGCAGCAAATCAAAGGGTAGACCGCTCTCTCTCTTACCATTTAGCCACATGCAAGTTGCTGCTGTTGCTGCAGGTGCTGCTGCTGCTGCTGCTGCTGGTGCTACTGCTTTTCCTACAGGCGATGCTGTTGCTGCAGGTGGTCCTGTTGCTGCTGCTGCTGCTGCTGTTGCTGATGGAGGGGAAGAGTCGCGGCGTGAAACGGACCATACACCATCTCCTTCCTGTATTAGACAACAATACAGCAGCAGCAGCAGCAGCTGATGGTGCAGCAGCAGCAATAATGTGTGCAGTAGCAGCAGCTGCAGCAGCAGCAGCAATAATATGAGCAGCTGCTGCAGCAGACTACGCAGCAGCAGCAGTCACGATCACACCACCGGCTGCTAAAAACAGCAGGAGAGCGAGCAGCCATACCACTAATCTCATCAATAGCAGCAGCAGCAGCAGCAGCAGCAGCAACAGCAACAGCAGCAGCAGCAGCAGCAGCAGACCTGAACAAGATCTTGAGTATAGAAGCCAAAATGTTTGCAGACAACTGCCGGCACAATCTTCGTAAATGCCAACAACTCACCCAACCTAACAACACACAATTAGGGTTTAGGGTTTAGGGTTTAGGGTTTGCAGCATGGGTTCATGGGGATTATCTAACTCTCCAGGCAGCAAAAGCACAAGCAGCAGCAACAACAACAACAACAACAGCAGCAGCAGCAGCACGGGGAGAGGAAGCAGCAATACCAACAGCAAAACCAAAGCAGCAGCAGCATCAACACGAGGAGTACCATTAGCAACACGACTACCAACAGCAAATAGAAAAAGCAGCAGCAGCAACAACAACAGCAGCAGCAGCAGCAGCAACAGCAGCAGCAGCAGCAGCAGCAGCAGCAGCAAGAGGCACCTTCCTGATTGCATGCGTTTATCAATAAAGTCTGGTAAATTATTTATAATTGTTGGCAATAATTTAAGAGATACAGATGGTATCTTATCCGTAGACAGACCAATTGCTGTTGCTGCTGCTGCTGCTGCTGCTGCTGCTGTTGTTGTTGTTGTTGTTGTTGTTGCTGTTATTGCTGCTGTTGTTGTTGCTGTTGTTGCTGTTGCTGCTGCTGCTGCTATTGATGCTGTTGCTGCTGTTGCTGCTCCTGTTGCTCCTGCTGCTCCCGATACTGATGATGATGATCCTGCTTGTGCACGCTGCCATGTTGCACTAGTTGAAGGCAAGTCGCTGCTGCTGCTGCTGCTGCTGCTACCGATGCTGCTGCTGCTGCCGATGGTGTTGCTGTTGCTGCGGCTGTTGCTGTTGTTGTTGTTGTTCGTGTTGCTGCTGCTGCTGCCGATTGGGTTGCTGTTGAGGCGGCTGTTGCTGCTGCTGTTGTTGTTCGTGTTGCTGCTGCTGCTGCCGATTGGATTGCTGTTGCTGCGGCTGTTGCTGCTGCTGCTGTTGTTCGTGTTGCTGCTGCTGCTGCCGATTGGGTTGCTGTTGCTGCGGCTGTTGCTGCTGCTGCTGCTGCTGCTACTGGGTTTGCGGGTAAGGCGCTCAATAACCTCCGCAGCAACGAGCCTGCGCATGTACTCTTGCTGCTTTCGCTCCGATGATATCCATATCTGCTGCTGTTGCTGCTGTTGCTGTTGCTGTTGCTGTTGGTGCTGCTGCTGTTGGTGATGCTGCTGTTGGTGATGCTGCTGTTGGTGTTGCTGCTGTTGCTGCTGCTGCTGTTGCTGCTGTTTCTGTTGTTGCTGCTGCTGCTGTTGCTGCTGTTTCTGTTGTTGCTGCTGCTGTTTCTGTTGTTGCTGCTGCTGTTGCTGCTGCTGCTGTTGCTGCTGCTGCTGTTGCTGCTGCTGCTGTTGCTGCTGCTGCTGTTGCTGCTGTTGCTGTTGCTGTTGCTGTTGCTGCTCCCTTGGTGCATGCACCCAGCTTGTGAACGCAGTAGCTAGGTCTGTTTCTTTCGCAGGCGTCCCTGCACGGTCTTCGACACTGCTGCTGCTGCTGTTGCTGCTGCTGCTGTTGCTGCTGCTGCTGTCGCTGATGCTGCTTTTTTCTTCTTGCTGCAGCAGAGAAACAGCAGGTAGGGGAGCAACTGCGGTGTCTGTACACTCGTCAACATCCATCATCTCTATTGTATTAAAGTATTGCTGCACTTCTGCTGCTTCTCCCCTAGTAAGAGGAACCTCTCCTGCTGCTACTGTGCTGCTGCTAGAAAATAATCCGATGCTGCTGCTGCTGCTGCTGCTGCTGCTGTTTATTGAAGATTTTGTGTTGCTCCCTCGTTGCTGTATCCTGTGCTGCAGCTCCTCTGCAGCAGCAGGAAGGCCATGAGACTGCAGCAGCAGAACGTGCTGCTGCTGCGTCGCGCCTAGTAGCATAGGCAGCCATTTTGCTGCCAGTACGCCTGTGCAGCAGCAGCAGCAGCAATTGCTGCTGCTGCTGCGGTTATAAAGGACGTGATGATGCAGCAGCAGAGCAACAATACCCGAAAATGCTGCTGCAATACCTTCTCTTGCTGCTGCTGCTGCATCAGCAGCAGCAACTGTCTCAGGCCGACTATTTGTTGCTGCTGCTGCTGCTGCTGCATCAACAAGAAGACACAACTCCTTAGCAAACTGAAGGGAGGGCCCCCTCCACATGCCACTCAGGTGGTGCCACAGCGGCTGCTGCTGCTGCTGCTGCTGCTGCTGCTGCTGCTGCTCTTGCTGCCACTCTCTGACAACGTTAGCAGGCAGCAGCACAGCAATACAAGGGCGAACAACATTCTCTTTGGCTGTTGCCCGCAGCAGACCAGCAACCGGGTGTACGTACACCCGATCTAGTAAACTAACAGCAGCAGTAACTGCTGCTCTCTGCTGCTGCAGGGGTACAAACCCCGGGGAAGAGCAGCCGCACAAGCAGTTACTGTTGCTGTTGCTGCTGCTGCTGCTATTTTTGCGTGGAAGACTCACACCACAGCGGTGCTGGTGCTGTTGCCGATGTTGCTGCGTTTGCTGCTGCTGCTGCTGCTGCTGCTGCTCTAGCTCCTCAAGCAGCACCAACTCGAGGCACTTTGCAGCACCACCAAATAATTTCTCTTTTAATTCTTCGTTAGCAGCAGCAGCAGCAGGAGGAGCAGCAGATCCCCAATTTATAGATACCCAACTGTCGCCCTCCATACTTCGCCAAATTCTTCTTCTGCTGCTGCTGCAGGTTGCTGCTGCTGTTGCTGCTGCTCGGTATCCAGCCAGAAGACGCTGCGTTAGATGTAGATAAATGCGAGGGGACCCTCCGTCGCATTCGCTGCTGCTAAAGCTGTTGCTGCTGCTGCTGCACCGGCTGTGTGTTGTTGCTGCTGTATTGACCTTCTATGAGGTGCCTGTACAGCTGGAGGGTGGCGAAAGGCGCTGCATGCTAGTCTTCCTGACTTCAGATGTTTTCTTCCTTCATCTTGAGGTATTCATTCATTTAATCGTTAAACTGTTAATACCCTCGCACTCTGCTACACACTATGCAGCAGCAGCAAAAGAAGGTGTGTACGGGGACGAAGAGAGGATAATTAGGGCATCATGAGAAGAAAATGCGAAAAAATCGATAGATTCTAATGTTGGTATGCTGAATTAGGGTTTAGGGTCTAGGGTTTAGGGTTTAGTGTTTAGCGATTCGCGAGGTTGGCTGGTCTTGAGAGCCAAGGAGGGGGGAAATGAATCGTGTTTTTACAGAAGACAAACATTACCCCTGCATTTTTGCATTGAAAAATCACCTTTTTAGGGTTTATAATTAGGGTTTAGGGTTTAGGGTTTAGAGTGATTAGAGTTTTTGCCCACCAGCCCCAAAGAGGCCACACGCAACTGGCCACTACTCCTCACCCGCGTAGGGGCGCCGACGGGGCGGGGGTTTTGCATTGGGGTTTTTAAAGCATAAAAGTGATTGTTTGTTGTTTGTTTTTCTTTAATTGTGTTTTATTTAAAGTGTTTCAGCTGTACGTACACCGCAACTCGTTGCTGCGTACGTATCGGGGGTTTGCGCTTCTCGGCTCTGCACTTCGGCGTCTCTAGACCCCCGTACTACGTCTGTCTTTCCTTTCCCTTCCATCAAACCCTTAACATAACCTAACCCTAAACCCTAAACCCTAAACCCTAAACCCTAGCTCCTCCCTTAACCAGCCCTCCCCACTCTCCCCTCCATTCACAATCACCACACAGGGTCCTGCATGCATGCGGAGCAGCTTCTTTAGAATTAGGGTTTAGGGTTTGGCATTTTTTCTCTTTTCTTTACAGAGAATTAAAGGGGATGTGTATATCTTGGCATTGAAAGGGTTTAGGGTTTAGGGTTTGCGTGCAAGTGTTTGTTTATTTCAGAGAAAATGAATATCGCCACCGACGAGTTCGGAAACCCTTTCATAATCCTGCGGGAGCAGGAGGAGAAAAAGCGTCTAAAGGGGATTGAAGCCCACAAGGCACGTGTCTAGGGTTTAGGGTTTAGAGGGTTTAGGGTTTAGAGGGTTTAGTGTTAACGGTTGTGATGCAGTTTGTCGCGCATACTTTTCCCTGTGCAACTTGTTGGTCTTGTTCCTACGGTGGACCGAATCCATGACGGTTTCCTCTTGTCCTCTAGGGTTTAGGGTTTAGCGTTTAGGGTTTAGGGTTTGTGTACAGGCGAACATAACAGCTGCTATGGCGGTAGCTGATTCTTTACGTTCTTCCTTGGGTCCTAAAGGAATGGATAAAATAATTGTTGGCCCTGATGGTGATATAACTGTCACTAATGATGGTGCTACTATCCTTGATAAAATGCAGGTTAGATGAGTGCAAACCCTAAACCCTAAACCCTAGAAAGTGTAAACCCTAAAGTTGCACATGCTCGCATTAACCCCTCATTGACAAACACGAAACCCTCATGCAAAGATGCAAACCCTAAACCCTCACGAACAGTGCAACACTGGGAAACCTACCCCAAACCCTCAAGACCTCCGTGTATCCACATCAAACAGGAGAAGGAAGCCTATTAGGGTTTAGGGTTTAGGGTTTATTGTTCAATAATGCAGATAAATCATCAATGCGCCAAGTTGTTGGTTGATCTATCGCGGTCTCAAGATGCAGAGATTGGTGATGGCACAACTGGTGTCGTCATCTTAGCAGGTTCGTTCTATTTTATAGGGTTTAGGGTTTAGGGTTTAGGGTTTAGGGTTTATTGAGGGTAATAAGGGTGTATATATTTCGTGAGGGTCATGATGACCTGAATTTCTTGCATATTTCCCTGACTATACTGACTAAATAGTTGAATTTTTCCTCTGTTTCTAATAAAATAAGATAAAATAGGATAAAAAAGGATAATATTAAATAAATACATATATTAATTTATATTTATTTATAGGGAATTTACTCTCTGAGGCTCTACGGCTAATAGATAAGGGTTTACACCCTCTACGTGTTGCTGACGGGTTCGAGGCGGCGGCACAAATTGCTGTTCAATCCTTAGAGGAAGCAGCTATACATAAAGATGTACTAGGTGCTGATCAAGACTTATTGTAAGTATTTATTTATTTATTTATTTATTTTATTTAATTAATTAATTTATTGTATCTATTTATTCATTTGTTTCTTGTTGTTTGGTGTAGATAAGAGCATCTTATTCATTTATATATTATGCTTTGTTGTTGTTATTGTTATGTTTCTTTATACAAGAGTGTTATTTAAGGAATAAAATGCATATACACCTAAATAACGATTAAATAATAATAATAAATATATTTATTACTATTTATTTCTTTTTGTTTCTTATTTATAGGCGACAAACAGCAAAGACTGCCTTAGGGTCTAAGGTCGTCAGCAGCTGCAAGGAGAAATTAGCAGATTTATGCGTACAAGCTGTTCTTGCTGTTGCAGATAAAGAAAGAAAAGATGTTAATTTAGATATGATTAAGGTAATTTATTTCTTATTTATATTTATTAATATCTTTTTATACATTTATATATATTATATACGCTATTATATGTCTTATACATACGTTGTTAAGGTATTATAAAAGGTTTATATAGGGTTTAGGGTTTATGAATGGTGTCAATTAATTAATATATTTATTTATTTATTTATTAATTTTATTTATTTATTTATTCTTTTCTTTATTCATTTAGTAGTCCGTGCTGGTTGTTGATTAGACCAATCTTGTATATAATAGAAGGAATAGTATTACATAATGTATCTTAATGAATAAATAAGTAGATAAATACATATTTTTTTTCCTTTTTTTTTTCTTTTTCTTCTTTTTTCCTCAGTTAGATGGTCGTGCTGGTGGTTTATTAGAACAATCATGTATAATAGAGGGAATAGTATTACATAAAGACTTAAGTCATTCACAAATGCGTAAAGAAATAAAAGATGCAAAAATAGCAATATTAACTTGTCCTTTTGAGCCCCCTAAGCCTAAAACTAAACATAAATTAGATATAATTAATTCAGCTAATTATAAAAAATTACAACAAAAAGAACAAATATATTTTAAGGATATGATTCAACAAGTTAAGGATTCAGGAGCTAACTTCGTAAGAAAAAAAAAATTTTTTTTTTTTTTTTTT